TAAGTAGTTAGAAAGGATGATAACAATAAATGACACTATAAAGAGAAATTAATAAAAAATAAAGTTGAAGTAAGTGGCATAGGAAACAAACAAACAAAAAATAGAATCCATATATCTAACAGCTGGTTGTTAAGACTAATCATATAGAGAAGACTTTTGAAATTTGACTAAAAAAAAGAACAAAAATTTACAAGTATAAAGTAACTATAGATATAAAAGGGATTATTAAAAAACTGAGAAGACTACATGCCACTCAACAGCAATCAATTTGAAAACCTAAAATAAATAGTTCTGTGGCAAATAATGCCAAAATGATCCCCCCAAAAAAGAGAAAACTAGATAGGCTAATTATCAAAGAAGATAAAAATTGATTGAATATATATACTATTGGAAAAAGCACTGGACACAGATGAGTTCACATGCTTACATACTCTTTAAAAAATGAATAATCTATTAATTGTTTAAAAACTATCCAGGAATATGAAAAGAAAGAAATTTCTGTAAATTCCCCTAAGTGAAGAGATGAAAATCCTGAATCAGGAGCAGCAGTTAAGTTTGAGTAATAACTCAGAACAAATGTTAGGGCCAACTTGGAGGCCCTGTAGAAGAGTTTAGGAAGCATAATTGCTAGGCAGTGGGGGAAATCTGGGGCTTGATTTGCCTTTCCTGACTCAGTTTGGCCTATAAAGTTAAATAGATGTTATGGGATAGGCAGGAATTATTCTGTGATGTCTTATGATAAATTTATAAAAAAAAAAACTTACACATGCTGTAATACTGATATACTTCTAATGACATGCAGGAACTATATGAAAATCATCTAACTGAAGCATCCAGACCAATTATGACTTTGAATGAAATCATCTGGTATTTTTCTTTTTCTTTCTGGCCTATTTCACTAAGCACGATCCCTTCCAGCTCCATCCATGTTGCTGCAAAAAGCATGAGTTTATCTTTTTTGATTGCTGAGTAATATTCCATTTTGTATATGTACCACATCTTTTTAATCCAATCATTTATTTTTGGGTATTTGGGTTGATTCCACATTTTCCCTATTGTAAAACACAGAAACATTTATTCAAAAGGACACCACACCCCCTTGTTTATTGCTGCTCTAATTCTGACTTCGAAGAACTCACAGGTAGTAAACATCACCCAAGAATCCAACAAACGCACGGATACTTTTCAGTTTCAGGACTATCATGAAAAGCTGGTCTTCCATGTCTTTGTTGATTTGTAGCTAAATAGAAATGTTCCTCTTCTGTTGATTAAACAGTGACTTAAGGGCTTTCTTTCTCTAATTCAACAAATGTATATGCAACTAGACAAAATCTCTTACCTTCCCAACAGGCAGCTAGCTCCTTCCAACTTGCTGCACTGGCCCTCCCTGTTTCTCCTTCCCCTCGTCTATCGCAGCACCCCCTGCAGGCAGGAAGAGGGACAAAGAGCCTGACTCCGTAGAGAGAAAGGACCTGCCGGCGCAATGAATAAATCTCTATTGTTTCATATATATATATATATATATATATATAAAATCATCGTTTTACTATCCTCGTATTTATGATGAAGTAAAATAAAATGGAAAAGAAGAGCTAGAGAAATGATTGCTTAGTAAACGGCCTCAAACCTAGCACGTGTTTATTTAAGCGTCTCTGTGCAAACATAACCCTGGGTGTCCGTTAAATCAGCAGGCATGGCAGTTGGCACTTCTGGTTACAGACCATTTTACAGTCATACATCATTCATAGCCGTAAAAGCCATTTGCCCTCTGTCACCCAACCAATCAGGATTCAGCCAAGAGGAAGCAGAGCAGGAGCCTGGCACTTTCCTCTCAGCTCCTCTGAATTTCTACAACCTGGTTCAACAGAATGTCACAGAAAATTAACTCTTCTTGGTTATTAAGACCCCCTCCCCATACACCCCCACTAAAAAGCAATATATGATTTCAGGCTAATATTGACTCCATCACAAGGAACACCTGTGCAGGGAGCATGGCACATGAGCCCAGTGTAGACCTGCAGCTCTGGACACCAGGGGGCTGTTCCCCCACACCCCTGCACTTCATCCTGACACCCCCCTTAAGCAGGTCACATTTTTTCACTCCACATCTTCACTATTTTGTTACTGAAACCGAGATGCCTGTCAAGGACTGATAACCACCTCTGGTCTCATGAACCACTTGCCTTTGGGTTTTCCCCATTACTTTTGCCTCTGGTATTTTGCTTGAAATATCTTCTCAAATCTGGGTTATTCCTTGTACGTGTGTTGTTTCTTAACTCTTTCTTAGTTCACACTGTCATTAATGGACACGTGGAAAAACCCTGGCAGGCCCCAGGACAGCCCTATCTGAGCCCACTTCATCTCTGCTAGGGTATTTCCTGTGTCTTCTGGCCTCTCCAGTCATAACAGGATAGGATCAATTTCACAGTGGCAGCTTGGAAATAATTGTGCGAAATGTATATTAATACAGAAATATATTGTGAAACTGTCCTTAAACAAACAAATGAGCCACTTTAAAATATTACTGCTATAAATGACCATGACAGTAGCATAGCACATATAATAAAAAATAACTGCTGAAGAGAAGCTGCTGAATTACTATAGTAATAAACCAGATGTGATTATTATCATTTAACACGGTCATTGAATACCATGAATCCCTGAAGCCATTAAAATATTTATGATTAAACATTTGCTATTCCTTATAACAGAACATATAGTTGGGTACTAAAAAACTGTTAAAGTATTATTTCAGCCTAATATATGCCAGTTCTATAATAGAGGTCAACCAACATTGCCTGAATCCTTTAAAAGAGGGATGAACAGCTGCCTCTCCATTTCTTGACATATTTTAGGATGTTTATGCTGGTATTATACACTCTCATGGTGCTGTGCAGGATGCATCAACTGCACACTACTAAGGTAAAAATATGTTCCTATCCTGTATGTTCATGAACAGATGCAGGCTTGGAGGCTGTTCTGGTCATTCTTCTAGAAAAAAAGCAGATGGAGCAGATGCTCCCCAAACCTTCCTCTGATTCCCCTGGCACTTGCATGGAGCATCCTGCAGCCAGCATCCCCAACAGGGGCCCTCCCTGGGCCAGCCAGGGCTGGAAGGGCTAAGGAATCGGGTCCTGGGGGGCTGCCCCTCAGCCTTGGTGGATGGAATCTGGAGAACACACATGTTGATCTGTCCCTTGTTCTTGATGTCCTGGTTGCTTCCTGGTGATTGTTTTCAGTTAAAACTTCAGCTCAGTTAAACATAAGGTAGGACTCATGCTGAATAAAAATGCTCACAGCCAGTTAAACAAGAGGCTCTTCGACCACTCTTCTGGGGTGTTTGCTTCTCACCCAGTCCTTCCTGTTTCTTGGCAGTTTGGCTTCATGGGTAGATGGCAGTCCTTTCCAGGAAGGGAACCATCTGTCCATCCTTGCAGTATCCTGGTGACAGCCCAGAAGTAGAGGGCTTGGTGCTTAAAAGCTGAGCAGAGGGAGCTTTCTTCTTGACCCTCACCTGGGGCTTACCTGGTTATTTCAATTATTCATGCTTCAGAATTAGCTATTTCATTTTTCATGGATACCAACAGTGAACCTGATGCTTGACTTGCTTGAACCCTATTATGGGATAATGTAGTGGAAAACAAAAGAGGAGGAATTTTGGAGAAAGACCTGGATTTGTGTCCCAGATCTGTCCCTACTGGCTATACATATATATAGACACACACACACACACACACACACACACACACGTTGCATAACTCCTTGGAGACTCTTACCTTGCCAGAGGTAATTTTCTCATGGGTGAAATAGCCAGAACCATTGGGTAAATCTTGTAACATATATGAAGTATTGATAGTATGTAGTATTGCACATACTACCTATCATGTGCATAACTGGTATTTAATAAATAGTCTATTAAATGATGAATGAATGCTGAATTTACTCACTCAGAGGTTGTTCCCACATTATCTTGGTGATGACTCAATTCTTGGCACAAGCCATTACCTATTGGGAATCCATTTGGTTCCCAGCATGTCACTCTCTGGCTCTCATCACAGGATTTTGGCAGAGGTACATGCCTCTGTCATGTGGGATCCATGTTTGCCTGTACACTTCCAGCTTATACTTGTGTAGGGCTGCCCTGTTCTTGCTGTGGTCTCACATTTGTAGGCTTAATAACCTGGGCAGTGGGCTGTACAGGAAAACACACAAAGCCACAGAGTGGAATAGAAAACATTTTTGAAGACCCCTGCTGGCTCAGTCAACCCTAATGAGCTATTAGGTCATTAGAGACTCTTGCCATCAATTAGTCATTAGATCAGCAACCACTCATTGATGACAGCATGTTCTTCCACTTAAAGGGATAGCACTTAGAAGGCAAAGGATTCATTGCTGGTATTTATGAAACTGAAAAAGCAGCTCCATATGTCCTTTCCAACTTATCAGATACTTCAAAACCTGAAAGGAGGGTTAGTTTCAGGTTACCTTGACTTAGTAAGAATATCCAAGGAAAGAAGAACTAAAGACTTGTTTGTTACATGTTTATATATTGACCTATAGCTCAAGTGGGATAAACGGCTCACATCCTCTTGTCCACATGCTATGAATATCATGGTCTTCCTTGATTTCTGGGACTTTTAGGGGCTGTCTTCTGCTTGCCCTGCAAACCTCTGAAACTCTCTTGGACCCCAAGTCTGCTATCTGTTCTCTGCCTATGGCCACCAGACAGTGCCAACTTTAGTGAGGACGCCTAATCACGTATATAGTGCAATGTTTATAGACCCATGGGGACAACTCTCTATGAGTGTGTGTGTGAGTGCAGCAGATGTTCCCTATAATGCAGTTTGGCAGATAACTGCTAGCTAAGAACATCAGGGATACTGTCTCATGTACTTCCCTGTCACACACTCATCCAGGTAAGCCTCTCTGCCAGTTTTCTTCCTAAACATCTCCTACTACCTGTCTGTCCCTCTCACTCAAAGTATTCTTTTGTTTCTCAGGCTGCTGTCAGAACTTCCAAATTGCTCCAAGGTTATTAAACTGAACAAATTGCCTCTGTTCTTTGGACTTCATCTGAAGATTCTGGAATGGCCCACATTAAGTTATGCTAAAGTGAAGACAGCTTTCTCCCTTATGAGGAATTCTGTGCAACTCAACTAACAAATGTTTTTTGCAAATATTTGTGATATTTGTGTAAGTATTTGAAGATCATGCACATTACAGCTTGATTATTTTACTATTTTAGGAGTTGTGCTGTTTCTCCACACTGCATCCACCAGACAGCATTACCTGGGTCAACCATTCTATTAAGGCTGTTTTTTTGTTTTTTGTTTTTGATGGAGGTGGAGCCAAAGTTTGTCTCAGTGGAACTACTTTTTTGAAATTAGAGTGAGCAAATATACTTCCCATGTGGAAGTGCTTCTTGCCTGTCTTTAAATGAAAGTAGATGTTACTATATAATCTGGTGAAATGCTCTAGAGAAGCTGTATTTTGCTAGGGATGTCCAAGACCAGTGGGGAGGGCGAGTCCTCTTTTGAAGTGGGTAGAATGGAGTTGGCTGTCATTTCTGCCTGAGAGAAGCTGATCTTTGATGAAGACTCAATTGCTAGTGATTTTTTTTTTTTTACTTTAGAGAGCCCATTAATTTAAGTTCACGTGTCTTCAAACATACTTTAATGTTCTATAGACCATTCTTATTTAGTTCTCTGTAAAAACAAATTAAAACTATGAAGTAAACCTAAAGCTTGACTATTCTTAAAGGTGAAGTGTGGCTCTCTCTAATAATTTCTTACAGAGTCCTGGGATAGGACTTAGCAGTAATGGTAATAATTGCTTTCTATTTTTCTCTTTCACTATGTGTTTAACTTCACTTCTATTGTATATAATCTCACTCATTCTCATAGTGCCCCCACCAAGGCAGGCATCCCATTACCTCCTTTTTACACTGAAGGAAATAAGTCTCCAGTCACTTCTGTATCATTTTTGGGAGGAAGGCTACCTTGGCTTCCCCTATCACCATGCCGATCATGTTTCACTGGAAATGTCTGTCCCTCTGTATGTGTACACCCACTAGATTGTTGTACACAGGAGCTACTTCTATGCCTTTACTTATCACTCCTGCTCCTGACTTCAATGCATGGTATACTGATGAGTATACCAGATGAACAGATCAATGTAGAGAGGAAAAATGTGGTCAAAACCACTGTTTAGAAAGTGAAGCCAAGACTCAAACCCATGGCTGTGGGACTTTCAAGTCCAAGCTTTTAGGAGATTCATAGAAATTTCCTACTCCCACCAGCACCCTCATGGCCAGCCCTCAAACAAAAGCAATATGTTGATTTGACAGAAACATTCTTCCTTCTACCAAGGCAAACACCTTTAATCTTCCAACTCCAGGGGAAATCAGCTGTCACCACTGTATATAGGCTGGATTCCTTGGGTAACCTGGGTGGGTGCTCTGAACTGGGCAGAGCTGAAGTGATAAAGGAAGACTAAGAGCGAGCCTACCCTCAAGAAGACAGAAATCTAGAACATTGGATTGTTACCATCCTGAATGTTTAAGAGCTCTCCCCACCTTGGTGCACCCAGAAATTCCCAGATCAAATCTCATCTCTACAGAGATTGAAGCTCTGAAGAAATGCATTTAAAACTCGCAAGTCTGGCCTTAAGAAAGTCTTAATGGTCAAAATACAAAGCGGGTGGAGTGGGGTGAGATGATGTAGAATTGAGGGCGGTGGGGGTTTGCAGAATTTCTCTTCTTAAATGAAAAGCCCAAATAAAATAAATAAATGAAAACATAAATCACAGTGTCTTCTCCCGGCTCCTGGCTGGAGGAAAACAAATTAGAAAGGGCTTGAATGAAAGGAGTATTGAAGAAGCTTGACTTGAATTAAGTGGTTATATATTTTAAAAGCACTTTGTTGGGTTCTGTAAAAATAGCAAATAAAAAGGTAGTAATATCCCCTGGCTCTGCGAGGCAAATACCAGTAATAAAGTAAGCTGGGGGGTAGGGGGAGTGTTGGATCTTAACAGTATAAACTTCAGTAGAAAGGAAAAAGAAAATGTTTGGTTTAGAAATGCTTTCATTTCTCCCTTAATAATTAATGATGAGGTGCTATGTTTTCAAATAGATCTCATGTGTCTTTCTAACACCATTCATGTTCCTCTTAAAATGGCCCTAAATGAAATTTAAGGACATAACTTGGAGTTCTTTTCTTTTGGCAGGCAACTTGAAGGAGTTATTTCAGGGTGATCAAATAGTGATAATTTAGGCTTTATTTTACGATAACTTTATTCATGGTCTGAGAAAAATTTCACAATGATATGGTACGAAGCATCTACTACAGGCATCAACAGCCACTTGCAACTCCTTTTTGACCTGCTATATTGTTATTAATTGGAAAATAAACATTAACTGGAGTGTTTAGATAGATCTACAAATAGATAAGAGGCTTGAGCATCCAGTCGTGCAAAAAGTGGTTATGGAAGAGAATAATGCAGGAAAAGTTACCGGGAAAGAACTAAATGAACTTTCTCCTAGTTAAGAAATGTTTAGGTCCTTTGTTTGTAAATGGCAGGTGGGTTGTACAATTCCAATGTAATTTCAGAAAGTCATCTTCTGAATGTAATAAACATGTCTGCAATAATAGGATTCAGAAAATAGCAAAATGCATTCCAGACGCCCTTTGATTGTGCATCCTGAACAGAGAATTTAGCTATAATTGGCTATAACGCAGTTATGGACAGCAAATGACACACTGTGGATTTGGGTGATGTAGAAGCTCTGATTAGGGATGGTACCTTTCAGCTGAACACCAGAAATAAAATGGCGAGTGACACAGCTCTCTGCAGCCCTCCCTGGCTTCCTCCCTTCTCTCTCCTCCCTCCCTCCCTTCCTTCTTTCCTTTCTGTTTAATTGAAGATTCACAGTTTATACTAGAAAACTTATTCTATTATTATGCAACTAATCAATTGTCAACCAAGACTTGGTTCTGTTCAGAGACTAACAATTGTTTGGAAAGGGTAAGTAAGAGCTCATGGAGAATTGACTTTTGGAGAACTTTGATGTAATTTGAATCAAGAATTATGATAGGAAATAAACCATTACAATAAACAAGGAAACATGTACACAATTACTTTCACGGTATAATTTTATTCACTCTAGTTGAGAAAATAAAGAGATAATACTGACCGTAGCACCTGGGTATTTAATGCAAACTGTAAAATCTATTATATTAAACAAAGTCAAAAGCAATGTGAAAGATCTTGAATCTATTCAAGGCATGCACCTCATTACAGACTTAGCAAATTAAAACACAAATAGGATTAGAAAAGAATAATGTAACAATCTCCCACTACAGTCCCTAGAGCATTAAGTCATAAATTGGGTTTGCATTAAATTGTGCCTGCAGTATTGAATTCAGGGAAAGAGCTGTGGGCTGGAGATAAACCATGCTGGGCTACTCACCAACTTTGGCAAAGCTATGTGTTTTCTATGACATGCAGTAAATTTGTTAGATTATAGCAGATCCACAAAAAAAAAAAGCATTTCATATCTTAATTTAAATAATGTCAGTGTCTTGTCATATGTGCACTACATAGGTACAAATGCTGAGAAAAATCCACGTGGAAAATGGAGCTTTTATCTGCATAAGTTTAAAGCCATTTCCTTAAATGCACTGTTTATACCAGACACAGGGTTTTTAAAAAGTCTCCATAGAGACTTTGTTTGATAGACTTTGACTATCAAAAAGAAAGAAAAAGAGAAAACAAACCATCCTTTTTAGAGAACACATGAGCTTCTAGACTATGCAAAGAAATATTCTTTTTCATTTCACAGAAAGACTAGACTCTATTCCTACTGATCAATAGAAAACTATCTATGAGTTATTTTTAAAAAGTAGATGAACTTAATCAATTTTATTTTAATGACGTAGGCTTTCAAAAACACCGTGTACTGCAAAGCAGGTCCCCTCAACTACAAGTTCATTCTATTTGGCATGTCTCTAATCCGCTCATGGAGACCACTCTGTCTGGATTATTCTGATAATCGAAGGGCAAATTGCAAATTGGCTGGCTAAACCAAAAACTGACGGTGGTCCTATTTCCTTAGGGCCACTTTCAGGTGCAGGATCCAATTTATTTTCTTCTCTGTGACTTCTCCAGGCTTATGAGAATTAAGGAAAATCAGTGTAAAATGTAAAACGTTAGGCTCCCTGGTCTTGTTTCAGCATTAAGTTTAAGGCAGGAAAGCAGCATTTGCAAGACACCCAGCCTCAGCAGGAAGTGTCATTTTCCATGCTCAGTGGTGAGCAGGCACTTCTTGGTTCTGTAGTGAAAAATCGCCGGACTCCCCGTTGGGGGAAGTCCCAGCATTCTCTCCCCAGCCAGTTTCTCTTTCTTGCCTTGCCCCAGGCTTCCTTTTCTCCCTCTTGGCCCTTGCAGCCACCCTGGTCTCCAGGAAAAGTGTTTCTATATCATACTTAGCAGCAGACACTCTGTTTACACGGGCATTGTCTATTTTTAAAAGCTGATTTTGAAAGTCTAAATGGCTCCCGTTTTGGCTTTAGTGAGACAAATATGGGCTAAAACGCACAGTGCCCTTAAGTATGATGGATACGCAAGACCTGCTAAAGTTTCCCGTAGCCAAAGTCTGGCTCGTCAGAGTGGCAATTTTTCTGCCATGTTATTTATGTGGTGGTTTTACTTCTAATTATGGCTCATGATGGCTGTTAGCGCTGAGCTGTAAGATAGCAAACTGCATTGTACCGCCACTTAACTCCAGCCCATAAAATGGGTGATAAAGCTGGGGGCTGGAAACCAAAACAAAGCCAAAAAAAATGGTGACTTTCTCTCACAAGCTCACATCCATTGCTGCCATTCGGAAGCTGGAAACTTTCCCTGAGGAAGCACATGGACTAGGTGGCTTTGGAGGAACCGGAACCTCAAATTTCGGCTCAGGTGTCACCCTTAAGTAATCCTCCGTTGTTGACAAAACTACCCCAGACCTCAAGCATAATTAACACATGCCAGGTTTAATCAGAACCCGTGTACTTGTTGTTTGGAAACTAATGGAAGTAAATAGATGTTATTTAACACCTTAAATAATGAAAGGTCTTTTGTTGTCCTCAATTTTGATTACTTTTTTTTTTTTTTTTTGGTGCTAAGAAGAATGCCACTTGGTGTGTGTGTAAACAAAGAAGATAAATGACTGGGATGAGAATGAGTTGTCCATAATCTGATTAAAGCCACAGAGCTGGCTCCTAGGAGAACCGTGCTGGGCTTAATGATTGGGCTGTTGGTCTTAATACGTCTAATGTTCACTCTTAAAGAAATCAAGAAAAATGATAAGAGGGTACTGATATTTCACCATGGCATTGGGCTGTCGGAGCATCTGACAGGAAAGAACATTCTGTGTGGCTGGAACACAAAGTCCAGCCACATAAGCTAATTTACCCCAATGACATTAGGAGGCATTTAAAACCTAAATCTGCCCAGATTCCTCACTGTGCTGGGATGAGTCTGGTTTTGTTGAAGTTGTGATGTGATCAAACAGCTGCAAAATGCCACTTATCTTCCTTATAGTTAGCCTCTTTCTCCTGCCTGACAGATTGTTCTAGATTTCAGTAACATGTCTGTTAGTGTTTGGATAATAAATGCATTATTTAAGGGCTTA